ATTACCATGTGCCAACGTTATGAAAACATGCTCATCCGAGAGTGTAATCTGGTGTACTATAGTTGTATAAATAAGTTGGAAAATTTACATTTTATGATTATAATCTTTGAAAATAGATTTTATCGCCCCAAAATTTATAGTAATTTAAGCAAACATTATTTAAACCTTTACACCACCATCAATGTTACATTATGTGATGAGTTCAGCAAAAATATTCCAAAAATCCTGTTGGATGTGCTACTGCTAGCTGCTGCTACTGTTATTTGTCCTTTCCAATAATCAGTCCAGCCAATTAACTGCATTTCTCCAAACTGAGGCCGTTTAAAGCACCATCTACAGGTAAGAACTTAATTGTTCATAATATTTTACACAAAACACTTGGGTTAACCCTTTAATTCAGTCGGTTTGTAATGGCAGTCTCACAGTGGAACAGAATCAGTATTTACAGTGAAAATGTGATTTTAGTCCAAGTTTTAGCTGCATTAAAACAACAGACTGGAGTGGTGAATTTAGTGCGACGTTTCACAGAAAATCTCTAATTTAATGTGTGTGAAGAGGCAACACTGAAACACTGGACCAGCCTCATTCACACTGGACGTCAGGGACAATTTAAATTTCAAGCTTCGTCAACAACAATACTTAGTTTTCATAAGGTGCTTCAAGTTCATCTTTCAGATACGATGGAGGGGAGACCGTTGTTCAGTCAGATGAGGGACGACAACAAATGTTTGCATGACAATAGAAAAATAACTCAGGAGGAATTTAAAAGCATAATTCATTTTACAATAAAGCATGTTCGACTTTAAAACATGTCATTCCTTTTTGTACAATACTATAAAAATGAGCATAAATACATATATATTTTTAAATCTTTTAACCTTTTCATTTAAGAACCGGTTCTTTTTTTTTTGTAGCTTCCTACGTACTGAAGTGTTATCATTTATTAGAGCTTTATTAGACTCGTGGCCAGAACTGAGAACTAGAGGCTAACAACATGTTAACCACTGAGAGTTAGAGGCTAACCACATGTTAACCAACCCGTAACGCAGTTTCACCTAAATCAGGTGGTTTCAGACATGAGAGGTGAGGAATACTTTATTCCTGCTTTCATTTGAAATTTTCTGAGTTCTCCAAAACCATCAGAAGTGTCTGAAATGTTTTCATTCCCATATTTTGTTTTCATGGCTGCAAGCTAACCCTAAAACATTAGGATAGTTTTGGCTTAACTTGGAAACCAGCATCTATATTGGTAAAATAAAATAAAAGTAATTTTTCACTTTAAATTTTTTTAAAGCAAAAAAATCACTTGTGAAAATTAACTTTTTATGCTAGCTATAGCTAGTTTTTAGCAGAGCAAAATAAAGAGAAAACAGCTAGAAAATAAAAAAAAAAGCTTCTATAATAACTATTGTTTTTTGTATTTGAGTGTATTTTCTGTTTTCTTCATAATCACACCCTTTGAGTATCCCAGTTGGATAGAAAGGCGCTATAAGCTGAGTCCATCACAAACTTTAACACACAAAGGCAACATCACTCCTCAGACTGAACACACCAGTTAAAACTATGATTGTTTTAACGAAGTGAACATGTTGATATTCAGTATTTGGAAGGAACAGTTTCAGTTTGATCAAACCTTTAGGAACCTAAAGGAAATGACCTTAACCTTAAAGAGATATTTCAGACATTTTGTAGTAGGTTTCTGTGGAAATGTTACAATTAAGTTCTTACCTGTTGTATTTAGCTCTTTGAACTGTGRTTTGGAGAAACAGTTTAATTCTGACTGGATTGGCGAGCTAACAGCTAGTCCAAGTGGGGCCAAGACTAAAGTGAATCTCTGCCATCTTTACTAACTAGTACATCTCTAAAATGTAACAAAAATTATATTTTTTAAACCTTTAGACCCAGTCATTTTTATATTTTACAGTTATTTACTAAAGTTTCTGAGGCTTTTTACCTCAGAAACTTAAAAAAAAAAAAAAAAAAAAAAAAAAAAACAGGAAGTAACACCAGTGAGTGTACCAGGTTCAGCCTGGTACACTCACTGCAGAAATATCTCATTTCTGCTGAAATAACCAAATATTCAAAATTAGAGTTGTTTTAGAACAAAAACAAATCTGCTTTATTAGTACATGGGCCATACGGAMAAATTAAAGTCGTTTAACCCAAGCAAACTTGCTTCAAAAGCAAACTGCCATTTTAAAACAACTCCAATCTTTAAATAACTTAGCAATYAATGCAAAAACTGCTTCATTATTACCATCAACTTTATATCAGTTATTTTAACAGAAAACAATTAGAAAATTCCTGCTCCAAGTCCTACAGCTAGCTGCTGTGCTGGTTGTTAAAGCAAACCTGATGGTAAAGCAGAGATTCTTAACCTGTGGGCCGCAAACGCCACCTTGAGGGCCTCAAAAGAACAACAGTTTTTAATTTTGGGCCGCAGAGGGCCGCGGGACCGCATTGATTTTGAAAGGGGTGCAATTCACTTTCTCATTACTAGTAGCGTTAGTGCACCACTCAGATGTTTAACAACTTTTTTAATATGTAGAAGAAGAATCTAGATACCTGCCGAAAATGGAAACTTATTTTAAATGAAAAGTAGAAGCAAAAATGAAGGTAACTCGTCAAAAAWCACCAAAGTTTGTCACTAATATGAAGTGCAGCTTCTGGTTCAATCATGCCTTATTTTAAAAGTTCAATACAGCTATGTTTTAATTTGCACTTTAACAAATTATTTTTGTAGTTTATTTTTTTAAATACTTTTTAATGCATTTTAAAGAAACTTTAAACTTGTCAAAAAGCTGTTGTTAGTTATTGTTTGTCACTAATATGAACAGCAACTTCTGTTTCTACCATGCAAAAGTTTAAAATGGCTATTTATTAATTTATACTTTATCAAATTTATTTTTACAGGTTTTTTTGTATTTGAAACATTTAATTTTTTTTATTTATTTACTTTATGCCCACAATTTATTGAATTGTCTATTTTTGTTGTTATGTTAAAAATACATATATTTTTGTGTTGATAAGCCTGAGTGGTCAGTTGACTGACCTTTGTATTTATTCAAATAATTGTTATGGGTAGGTTAAAATATAAAAAAAATGTTTGTCAAAATCACATCTTGTGATTATTTGACAGGAGTTTTACTTTTAAAATGTAAGTGTATTTWATTTAGTTATAAWGTAAATACAATAAAAATTAAACCAAAAYTTAGAATAATTATCATTTTGATCCATACATTGGTAATGTCTGGCTGGGCCTCGTGTCACTTGATGAAATTGGGCCCCGAGATCAAAAAGGTTAAGAACCCCCTGATTTTAAGGTTTTTAAAATAGTCTTTACAAAAATCAATATAAAACTTTTGAGAGTAAAACTGTTAAAAGACAGCAGCGTAACACTTGGAGCTTGGCTGCCTTTAGACTAGCCGTTCGCTCATCGGTCCAGTCAGTATAAACTATGTCTCCAAAATGAGTTGTTCAAAGAACTATCTACAACAGGTAAGATATTTGTTCATAAAATTTCCACAGACACTTCAAAAATGTTTAACAGACTGTAAAACGTTACTTTATACATTAGTTGTTAAAATGCTTAACTCCAAGATATGACTAATGTTTAAGTAAAATTAACAAAGGTTAATCTTGCTCATGTGGAGGAGTTAAAGTATCTGGGCTTCTCGTTCAGGCGTGATGGTGGAGTGGAGTGGGACATGGACTGACCGATTGGGGCCGCCTCCTCAGAATGAGGGCAGTTCTTTGGACGGTTGTGAGGATGAGTTGGGTCAAAAAGAAAAGCTCTTGATATACTGGTATGTCTCCATTCCAACCCTCAACCGTGGTCATGAGGCGTGGATCAGGACGTTAAAGACGAGATCCTTCAAGTCTTAGCAGGTTGACACGGCTCAGTCTCAGGGTGAGGAGCTCTGCCATCCCAGGGAAACTAGGAGAAGAGCCGCTGCTTTTTTTAACTGATAGCAGTCAGTTGAGGTGGTTCAGGTATGTGATTAAGGTTCCTAATGGACTCCTTTTAGAGGACTTCCAGGCATGTCCCAGCAGTAAGAGGCCCCGGGGCAGACCCAGAACTCACCTGAGGGATTGTGTATCTTCTCTGGCCTGGGACTGCCTGGGGTCCCAAGAGACAWAGATGTCTGGGTTTCTGTTTCCTCCGTGACCCGACTACAGATAAGAGTTAGAAGACGGTTCATCTTACGGCAGTTTGATTTTCAGTCAGTGATGGTTTTGGAGAACGTCCATTTGGAGCAAAAACAGCAGGAAATCCTGTCATTTATCACCACCTCAGATGTGTCTGAATCTCCAACAGATAGTTGGTTTATACATGAAACAGAAAAATAACTTCAAAGCTGTTTTGATATTCTCACATCTCCAGTGTGGATTCAGTCTATTTTGATATTTGCTCTATAAAATAAAATAAAGCACTTTGCTTAGATTATTATAAAGAGGCAGCGTCACAGAAGTAGTAAATATCTTGAGAGTATTTGATGCTTATGTGTGCCTGTAAATACCTACCTATAGTGTCACAGGCCGGCTGTAGCGTCACACCTACAGTGGCTCGAGAGGTTTCACTGAACACAAAAAACAACATAAAAACGCCACCAAAGGAAGTGGAAGAAATCCCTTTGGATTCACCTGAAGGCCGTTCTCAGACCGACTCAGATTGTTCCTTTGGCATGGAAAACACAAAACTGATCCTCAAAGACTCTGGTGGTCTGAACAAGAACATCTCTGGGAAACATGACATAATAAAAAAATCATTTTTAGTATTCAGTCAATACTTAGGCTGAAAACTGAAGAGCTAAAACCGCAGCTGCTGCTGTTGGATCAAAACCACAACAATCCTTTTTTTAGCTTTAATTYGTGTGGAAGTGTTTTCTTTTGTGCGCTTATAGTTTGTCAAGGAAACAAAAATCTAAACTTTCCTTAAGCTGCGGTAAATAAAAGAACAAATAACAGCAAAGTTAAGGCTACTTCTTTTAGCAGATTGTTTCACAAACCGTTGGGTGGATTGATTTTCAATCCAAAACAGCAGCTGGACTGTGAGACCCCTCCCACTGAGGACTGACGACTACAGAGGCTGAAGGACCTGACGGGGCCCAGATAATTCCTGCTGAAAGCCTCGCTGCCACAGAGGAAGAGGAGGAGGCTCTCTGGAGGCTGCTCTTCAGATGGATTGCACGGTGAACAGGTGTGAGTTGAGGGTGTCGGTTGTCAGGTAGGTAGAACGCCGTGAGGTGAAGGGGACTGAGAACCATTTGAACCATGTATAGATCATATATACAGTACACGTCATTTTTCTGAGGTTGAGTTTGAGGTGAGATAGACTGAGGATCGGCTCAGACAACTAGGCTGGAGAGGAAGAGGAAGAGGAGGAGAGGTATCCTGTGAGGGGAGGAGGAGGGGACACAGTTCCTGACAGGAGCCACCTACAGGTGGGAGCATGAAGACTGGCTTACCTCCTTTTTCGTTCAGTGGATCGTTCTCACAGAGGCCCACGTCCAACAGCTGAGTCATACGTTGAGTAAAATATATATTTTAAGGGAAGGTGAGGGGGTCACTGTTAACATGGACAATACTGAAGAAGGGGGGAGCCAGGAGAGGAAGAGCAGTTTTCAGGGACACATTTGGAAAACTTACTAAGTAGGATTATTTTAGTCTGTTTTGTCTTGCTCTCCTTATTTCCTCCTCTTGACTGCACATTCTGACACCCCCCCGTCCCCCCTTCTGCTCCGTCCCTCCTGCGGCTCATTCGTCCTCCAGGGACTCCGTCTTGATGTCGTTGGGCACCCCTCCGGTCCGGGACAGAGCCAGGATGGTGTGGTTGACGGCAGCCATCTCTACGGCAAGAGAGATGGGGTCCTGGTGCTCGCTGTGAGCTCCACTGTCATCCTGCCACGGAGGAGGAGGGGTGGGCAGGTTGCACAGAGACGGGGGAGGGGAGGGGGAGTTTACCACAGGAGGAGAAGAAACAATCAGAATAAATTTGTGAATGAATGTCAGCTCATCTTAAAGGGAACACTATGACATAACGCAGCAGTTGATGGTTCTTCATATCCTGTCGTCCTCTGAGGTCTGAAGTGTTTCTTTGCCTATAGAACCTGATCTAACCTGTATCTTCATTACTGATGCAACACTTGATATTTAGTCTGATAACTGTACCTCACTTCACTTTCTTTTTCTTCACTACGTTGTCAAAAAACTCGTGGAAAAAAGTATTTCAGTCCTTTGTAACATCAAATCAGCTTTCACTTCAACATCTTTATGCTGCTCCCTTTAGTGGCTCTTTGAAAATGTGACCAAACAGAATGAATTATATATATATACTGTGTATATATGTATATATATACATATATACTCACAATAGAAATAAGCTTGTATGCAAATATATGATCAATACTACTAATACAAAAGATAAAACATGTTAACTCATGCTAGCCTGTTGTTAACTTAAATAATCCAATCTCTTTCTATGAACTGTCTCTCAAATCCATCAAAATTACCTTTAAAGAATTTGAAAACTACATAGTAATTAAAAACTACATAATAATTAGAAAAAAATATATACAACTGAATAGTTCAGTTGAACTTGATTTTATGAAATTCTGTAAAAACTATTTACAGTATTTTTCTTGTTTACATGAATCTGGTCTTTTCATTTGTCCTCGTGTAAAAATAATAATAAATAATAAAATTCACAATATAGTTTTTAGTTTTATAATGTCACCTCCACTGGCTATAAAGGTCCCTGAAAAGGCCTCGAAAAGGCCCATGGACCACCAGTTGATAATCACAGTTGTAGCTTGTTTTGCGGCTCTGGACACATTTTATTAGTGAGCCAAGGAGCAGAAATGGCTCTTTTGATCATAAAGGTTGCAGATCCCTGATCTATCCCATCATCCTCCTGTTAACCCTTTCTTTATCCTCCTTCAATAAATCATGATTTTTTTCTCTTCTTTTCCTCCTTGCTTGCTGCTCTTTATTCAATATGCACTGTCCCTCCTCTGCATGTTAAAGCCATAGCCTCACCTCGACACCTGAGCTGCTCCTGTGATTCACTCGTTTGGTCCCTCTCAGTAAAAATCTTCACACATTCGTCTTCGTCATCCTCCAAACCAAACAGCTGATCTTGTAAACCAGGAGTTCTCAGACTGTTTATTAGATCAGCTATTTTTCTTCCTTAATTTTTCGTTGTTTCTTTAACTCTAGTGGTGTCCCAACACAGATACTGAAACCAGTATTTTTACAAGTACTCATTTTGTCCAAAATGTTGTGATACTCGAAAAAGTGTTTTGTTAAGGTTCTAACTCAGTAAATACTTGGTATCAGCAAGTACCCAAAATGAAGTACTCGTACTCTGTTAAAGAAAAACTGGTATTGGGACACCCTATTTAATTCTAATGATTTTAATGACCATTTTCTTTTTCCTTTGCTTTCCTCTAACCCAGTCAAGTTACAGTCAGTTCTGCCCCCTGGCTGCTCTGAGCCACTCAGTCGCTTCCTTCCTGTTTGTCAGCTACACCTCCTGAATGAGGAGAGTACTATATGTTTGTGTTGTACCTGCGTTGGCGAAGTGGGCTCCAATCTGTAAAGGCCAAACTGTCGGCTCAGAGGTCTCTTGTCAAAATATGGGAGATCACAGGCCTGGAAGAGTTCAACAAACAGTCAGCTGATAATATGCTTCTGTCTGCGGCTGCAGCTGTGTTTTTATTAGTCTCCCCTCTACAACCCTAAAAATTAGGTGACTGAGAATTTATTAATTAGTGTAAAAAGTGAGTTTTCTATATTTAGGGAAAGCTGATTTCTGTAGATGATCAGGTGCCACAAGTCCAAACGACACTGTGAAGCCACTCAGTTTGACTCCAAAAACACCATCTGCTGACTGTAGTTGTAAACTCAGCTTTCATCAAACAGAAAACCACTAATTAGTAAAGTCACATGATGCTTAATWTAGCAGAAATAAACATGTGAAACGCAGAATCACAGTTTTATAACTGCACTGCTCAGTCCAAGAGTTGGAAGTGTCAGCCTCGAAAAATTATCCTCCATTCAGAAAAATAAAAAAATWAAAAAATTAATGCACACTGAAAATAATGAAGCAAACTGGTTAAACAAGAGGAAGATAAATCTGGGAGGTAAGTCACTCTACCTGCTCTGAGAAGTCATTCCCATCAATGTCATCACTGTTGGAGTGCCCCCCTGGACTCTGGACGTCTATCCCATGGCTCTCTAGGATTGTGGCTTCTTGGAGGAAGAGGATGGATTATTAGACTCACRATCAATCAACTGTAATTATTAAAACTATTTATATGAAACAAGTTTTGCAGCAAGAAGTTGCTTTTTTGACAGTACTAGGCATGACATGACAGAAGCTGGAAAAGCTATGAACTAAAATGTACCAATGTTGGCCCGTCTCTTGATCTCTTTGCGACGATTGGCAAACCAGTTGTAAACTTTCAGGGAGGTGACTCTCTCCAAATCAGACAGCTTCTTACCTAAAGAGAAAAAGCAAAGAAAGTTTAGTGAGAATTTTTTCTGATATGTTGATAGGTGCTAATGCAGCAGCTGCCTGAAATTACAATAAGAGGACAACTTGTTGACATTTGGATGTATAAACCAGATAACAAGAGTACCAAATACAAATTATACACTCGTCAACAAACTGTTATACAGAAATGGCCCAATTATCTTCCAGCAATAGGGATTTTTGAGCAGTTTTGAACTTATTTTTCCATGAATCATGACCCCAATATTACGCACACAACAGTTACACTGCAGGCTATTGCTTTTCATGTTTAAACTTGGTTTTGTGACCACATGGCAAATGCAACATTTGCAACACTTTACCGACACACGATCCATCCCAAATGTGGTATTTGTAATTTGTGTGTGACAACAACAGAACACCCCTTAATTTTTGTATGGTCAAAGCCACTTAATGAATGTTTCTAATAAGTGATAAGGCCTTAGTGTATTGGGGCATCATTATTCTTTCTAATCATTGCCAATTCGTAAGGATGTCTTTCATTTCCCACAGCAGCCAATTAGGGCTGGACGATACGGCCTAAAATCAATATCATGATATATTGACCATTTCACCTCGATAACAATAAATGCACAATAACTCTTACCACCCCCAACACACACAAGTACACGGTATAGTCTAGTCATAACACTATACACTGTGTCCATGTTCTTAGTCAAAATACACAGTTTAGTATTCTCTAATGAAGAATTATACAAACATTTTAACCATTTGGACCAAAGGGATTTGTAAGGAAGAATTTGATTTTGAACAGCTTTTCAATAGTTTATATTTGTCATTTTAGTGTTTTTAATATATATAATAAAAAACATTTTTGTCAAGACTTGAGTCAGATAATCATACAAATATTTAACCATCTTCATAACTTTTCAGTGCAAACACATTATGTATGTACTATATTTCCTGATGCATCTCAGTAATCGACGTAGGAAAAAATCAAAAAGAAAAAATAAGTAGGTCCTCTGGATGGGTTCTTCTTTAGTGAAAYGTTTCATCTCTCCTCCAAGAGACTTCATCAGTCTGATGAGTTTCAATTGAAACTCCGCCTTACAAGCCCTGCCTCCACCTGGACAAACAGGTTAGTCAAATGCAAAATAGGGCCACTAACAATAGGCTTGATTGGTTCTATTGTTCATAGAGGGTCATGTGCCCCATCACCTGACCCGTGTCGTGTTATGTGAATGTAGTGAATGCAAGCGGGGGGTTTTAACATCCCCTTGTTTTTGTCCCTCTTTCCCTCTTTGTGTTGGCTATCATTGGGGCCCTGATTCACACCTTTTGCTCACAGGGGGCTGAGTCATTCATGCAATGACAGCGTTGTAGGCGGAAGACAAATGGACATGCAGGCCTCCACCTCTGTTTAATGGTGGATGTTTTTTTTTTTTTCACAAACATGACTTCCTTTACTCCTCTCTCAAATCAATGTTCCTCTCTATCAAGGATGAGAACATCTTCATCCCTGAAAGAGTGACCGCTGGCCTGTAGATGAGTGTAAACTGCAGAGTCCTGACCCGACGATGTAGTTCGTCTGTGCTGGCTCATTCTTTTGAACAGTGGCTGTTTTGTTTCCCCAATGTATGACTGATCACAGTCCTCCTGACACTTAACAGTATATACTATATTTCTCTGTTTTTGCCGGGAACTGGATCTTTGGAGTGAACTAATCTTTGTCGTAAYGTGTTTTGGGGTTTGAAAGCTACTGGAACGTCATGTTTAGAGAATAAACATCTCAGTTTCTCTGAAACTCCCGCCACATATAGAATGATGACTGGTTTGGGTCTGGGTTTAAGGTTTTCATTTTCAGTTGGTTTTTGGCTGGAATCCTGTTTGGGTTTCTTGTCTGCTTTCATAAAAAACCCACTTAGGATAACCGCACTGCTCCAGAGCCTGTCTTGTGTGTGACTTCTCTTTCTCCCTGGCTCCTGTGTTTGTGGGGATGTCTGCTCTGTGGTAACAGAGTTCTGATGACTCCTAACTTGTGTTCCAGTGGGTGATGGGAATCAAAATGCAATTACTGGTCTGTATGGGTGGGTTTGCGATACACGTCAGTTTCTAACCGTCCTCCATCCGAAACGGAGACATCATAGTCCAGGAACGCCAACCTGCCATCTTTCACATCCTCTCGTGTGAACTTTATATATTCATCCACAGAGTTGATGTGATCAGGGAAATGTTGGACTTCCTGGGATTTAATTTTAACCCAGGTGTCATCGACATACCTGAACCAATGGCTCGGTGGTGTCCCTGTGAAGGACATCAGAGCTCTCTTTTCCACCTCCTCCATGTACAAGTTGTTGTACAAACGGGGGCAGAAACATGGGTGTGCTATGGGCTCCCCAGTTTCCCCTATTGTTGCAGTTTGTGAAATAGGTTGATTCCAGGCACAGTTTCAGAAGTTGACACAGTTGTTCTGCTGCTAAGAGTGGTGTCTGATTTTAATCTTACACAGACCACCTGAAATTCAGACTGATGAAGTCTCTTGGAGGAGAGAGTTTCACCAAAGAAGAACCCATCCAGAGRACCTATTTATTTTTTCTTTTTGATGTATGTACTATAATTTTATATTTTAAAAAATATACCAAATGTGTCTTTTGTACTGCACAAAATAACTTTACATATTTTCATTTCACTGACTGATTTCTCTATTAAAATAATTTCTTTGTTCTCTCCGAGTACTCCGGCTTCCTCCCACAGACTAAAAAAATGACTGTTAGGTTAATTGATCATTACTCTAAATTGTCTCTAGGTGTGAGTGAGAGAGTGAATGGTTGGTTGTCTCGTTTGTCTCTATGTGAGGCCCTGTGATGGACTGGAGACCTGTCCAGGGTGTACCCCGCCCCTCGCACTGTGACTGCTGGATATGGGCACCAGTGACCCACGCAACCCTGAAAAGGAATAAGYGTGTACAGAAAATGGATGGATGGATGATATTATTTAGAGAGCTCATGTAATCATTTAACACTATTTATTCATCATGTTTGACCATTTATTGAATCACAGAGCAGTTCAGTCGCTGTATGGTTCTAAATATAAGAAAGATATATTGTGAAGAATGAAATTTGAACATATTTATTTTGTATTGTCTTTATTCTTCTGTTATTTTCTTTCCTTGTTTTTTTTTTCTGCTTCTGTGGGTTGGAGGGTTGGGTGGAGGTGGGCATGATTTTAAGTTTGGAGAGTGGGATGGGGTGTTTTATGTATTTTCTTAATTGCAAAATGTTTTATTTTACATTTTTATTTTTTTGTTTTTGTTCCTCTCTTACTTCTATTTTACTGTTGGATGTTGTTTTGTTTTTACTGTTTGATGGGACTACAGATGTAAATTAGCCTTAGGCTAAATCTGGTGCAATGCATCAAATTATGTTTTAATTGTACACTGTCCCGAATAAATAAATCATTCATTATTGAAGAACATAGGGTTTTTTGTTTATGCTTTTTTTTTGTTTTGTTTTTGTTGTTGCGGGGGGGGGCTAACGCTAAGCAGAGACTCATCTTTTAAACACTGGGGCAAAGTGTTCATCTGAGTTAATATTTTGTAAGAGCTGAAACAGTGGCTCTCACAGAACTCAGCCTGTGTGAGCCTCAGCCTCGGTGCCCTCACGTAACAGCGCTGTTGAAGAGATTTGGTCTCGTGAGCAAAGTTGGACATATCTGTTAGATAATGTCGCTCTGAACACATAAACTTATAGTTTGTTCRATTTTAGATACCAACGTCTCTGGTAGCTCGGGAGTGAAGTGTGGAGGACGGGCTTTGTTCACTCAGGACAGGAGCTGCAGACTGACCGGTGTTTATCACTGCTTCACCGATATCACAAAGACCCGCCCTGCTCTGTTCTGATTGGATAAAGCTGTGGGGTTCGTTTGATTTGTTGAAAGCAGCGTCTGTTTAAACTTGTATCAGACTGGGCAGCTTCAACAAGACCACAACAGAAAACAAGCAGGTTCTCCGACATGGGCAAAATGACGTCGGTCATGAAATTAGCATATCATGATATAATTTATTTTCCCGGGCAGGTGCTTTTTACCGGTATTATCATTCATTTTGTTAATTTTGTCTACAGTGTACTGCCCTACCAAAAATTTTAGCTCTTTATTTCTAACTAAATACAATTTAATATATTTGTGGTAGGACTTGTAAAAAGTGAGGGGGTAGACAAATCAAAAATTGTGATCAAACATGAGCATATTGGTCAAAAATGGGTTCTTCAACAATTTAATATTCACACTTTTGATTACAGCTTTATTTGCCCATCTAATTTCTCCAAATTATAAGTTATTTCTGCTCTGACTGTAGAATCAAAGGACAGAATTTTGCAGGTTGTGCACATACTGGGATTTATACATTTACTAATAAACTGACGTGACTTTATCAAGCCTTGTTCTTTGTGTTCTGCTGTTTTAGTGAGAGTGCAATAAAACTTAAAAATCCCTGCAGGCAGCAGAACTAAAGATCTATAAAATCACTGCAGTTATTAAAGCCGCCAAGTGTTTGTTCCTGAGGTATACAGCATTAAAATAAAACTCATTACAGATTTATTATCTCACGCAAAGCCTTACATATTATAAAACTGCAAATACATTTCTGCTGATGTCAAAATGCACCAAAATTAAAAATACAGATGCTGTCAAATGTTTTCTAAAGCTGGTGAGCTGTATTTTTATAAACAGTGATTATGTAACATGAACAAATCTTATTTTAGTCACTTTATCAGGCTCACTGTGATTCTGACAGCAGAGATAATAAAAAAATCTAAATGAAAGCTCTTTGGAGTTCAGTTGTATTAACACAGTATTAAGAGTTTAGAGACAGTAAAAATCCCAAATAATAAATAGTAATAGTAGGTACAGTGTAAAGTCATTCAAAAAACAACTGAAATTTATGTTATAAGAAAAAAATATTTAAAATACAAAGATATGTTATGCTTTTTATCATTCTCAAAAAAAAAAATAAAGATGAAGTATCCTTTGGCTACAAATACACGACCTCTACCTTCATGGTTTCTAGATTTTCCATTTTCAATTTTTACTTTTTCAAACTCAAACTTTTAAATTTTGATGTCAAAACATCTGTAAATTTACTGTAAACTACCATGTAGATTATGACAGTTGTATGATGTAATATAAAATATTTACACATTTTCAATAAGTGACAAGACTTTCCAGAAACATTTTCTTGTTGATAGTGAAGGGAATTTTGTGACTGATTAACAGTGTCTTATACAGTTTTGTATTTTTACACTTTCGGATCGTTGCAGTCATGTGGTTTAAACCAGTGGTTCCCAAACTTTTCAGCCTTTGACCCACAAAATAACAGTAGCAGAGACCTGTGTCCACAGCTATTTTTGGATGATAAACATTTATATCAGGTCAACAAAACATGGGCATAGTAACAATATTTTTATACTACATTTATCCATTTTAAATACACTAACCTCACTCCTTTGTAACAACTAAGGCAAAAATGTAATTAATTCAGAAAATATTTTCAGGACCCCACCTTGATGTTTCGGGACCCCACTTTGGATMCCGACCCCAACTTTGGGAAACACTGGTTTAAACAGAGAATGAGAGCTGGTTTGTCTTATCGATGTGTTCTTTCTGTCTGCATAAACAAACGTTGGTTATGTTCTAACGTGTAACGTAAAAGATACCGCCTCCAGGGGTGAAACCAGGAAGTCAGATGCATTTACTTCCATTTAGTGATCACAGATATTTTTTTTACTGTTTAGTGTAGTTTTCTCTCAGTTAGTGACCAATTCAGCACATGATCAAATTTCAACAACAGAATCTGGAAACTGACAATAAATTTTGATGTAAAAAAAAATAAAATCAGTAACAGCTCATCACATTGTTTCCAAAAAAATCTCCATAACTCAGCTCCACATGGATACACTTGCAAAAAAAAGCTATACTTAGGAAAACATTGAAAATAGTTTTGTTTTSCTCACTCATTTATTTGTGTATAATACGACCTCATGTATAATACGACCCCCCCTATTTTTATCTTAAAAAGCATAAAAAATTTAATTCTCATACTACCTCTAATTTCATAHGGACTTCAGGATTTTTCAGCCTTTGCAGTCTTTATATATCAGTAAAATTATCATTTGACTGTTGTGTCAGTTTTTAATTTTATTTTAACAACATATGTACTAAAAGGTACACAACAACAAATGTATAACTACAACAAAAACTATCAAATGTTCATTTGTTTAAGTGGTGTGATATAACAAACAGATGTGGCTCTAACAAGTGTGGATGAAGCTGAATTAAAACCCTTCAAAACCAGGCTCACCATCATCAGTACCATTAAAAGTTTCTGGTATTCCTCCTCTGTAATAAAGGCATCAGAATCCCACTCAACAACAATCTCATCCTCTGTGTCTCGCGAGCGCCCCCTCTGGTGGGGAAACTTTTTTCAGGTAGACCAACTTTTACCGAACACCGGTAGACGGCAGCCATTACAGACGACCATGTGTTTGTTGTTATCCCAGGAGTGGCCCGGCCGCACATTAATATCATTAGTTCGTTATCAATACTTAGCTGCAGAACTGCTGTTTTTTCTTTTTTTTCACATCATGTTGCCTGCTTGGATCTGTTACTATCTCACTCGGAGGCATGAAGGAGTTTTAGAGGTAAGCTCGCTTCAACCGCTTTTTACGACGTGGTTTCATTTCCGGACTCAGGGATTTTGTTAATGAGGCTGATATTTCAGTTAAAATACATCAGCAAAAATATTTATCCGAGTATTAGGGTTGTGACGATACAGGAAATTCACGGTTCGGTTCGGTCCGATACTTTAGTCTCACTGTTCGATAATTTTTGGATACAAAAAAAAGGAGAAATTTCCATGCCCCTTTTAACTTGTAATTTATTTATATTAATTATGAACATTTGTTTAACATAAAAAGTAAAGTTTTTTAATTAAATGTTGCTGAAACAGCAAGTTTCTCAGTGGATCTGTGCTCAAAAATGCAGCCTAGGTGGAGTAGTCGAACACAGATCCATTGATCCTTCAACACAGAGCATCTTCAGAAGACAAGTTGATAAAGTAAAATTTAAAAATCTGTATTGTTCGATGCAAGTGTGTATTGAACCTAAAGCACTGTTCGATACGGGTACATGTATTGTTGCACCCCTACAGAGCATAGTACTACCCCCCAACTTTGTGCATGATTTTACGGATTAAATTTTACGCATTATACTTGAATAAATACGGTAAGTTGAAAATCAGCCAAAGTATCCCACTGAGTAATCAGTGTACCCTTACTCCAAGTTCCAGATCCAAGTTTTAGCTCTATATCCACGATCAACAGAAAGTATTAAAAACAATTTGTTTTCTATCAAACATTTTTATAATTTTTGAGTGCTTCTGGTCACCAGCAGCTGAAGATATTCCATTGTTCAAAACAATTATAACATTAGTAGTTTTACCTGGTTTCTGAATAACAGCGTTGCAGGCATTGGCTATCTCCTCCCTTTTGGCCTCGTCTGGATACTGGTTGTCATTGAAGTAGCTATAAATAACAACAGTCGGATTTAATTTATTTCACAACACATGGACAGTATCAACAAACTGGAGTTATTGTCATGTCTGCTGCACAACCAGGCCAATATTAAGAGACCAAGACAAGAATCACAGCTTTTATTTCCTCTGTGTTCAGGTCGTCATTCGTCCTCAAGGAAATAAAAGCACAGTAATGAAACAATCGTCCATCTTTTAATTCTAAAAACATGATTTTTCTTCCGGTCCTCACCTCTCCATCACAGCCAGACACTCTTTTCGCCACGTGAAGCGGCTTCCTCGACGCAGCCGGAAGGTTCCAGGGGCGGTGGTGAGGGGTGGAGGGGTTTGTCTCCACTCCATCTCCTCCAGAGGCAGCGGAGCTGGCCGCATGTTCAGAGTTGCACCTGAAACAGCAGAATCAGTTCCAAGTGAAAAAAAACATGTTTCAGAGAGTCTGGTGGTGGTACAACTGCAGGTGTGTTTGTGGTTTTGGAAGCACAAACAGTGAAACACAAAACCCAGAAACCATGTGGGAACTAAAAAGCTGAAAGTAAACATAAAACTTGCCGTTTGTTTTAGGTGGCTGCACTGTGATGAGGTCTAACTGGGTCACACGGCCCAGGTTATCAGAACAGCAGGAATGTGGCATCAGTTTTTTCTGCAGCACTGATGGGGGGGGGGTTGTGCTGAGCTGAGCTGGGCCAGGCTCAATCCGGACAGAAATAGCAGCGAGCAGTTTGTAGTGCTGACTGTGTTGGCAGGGCTCCACCTAGGAGCGTACTGCAGAGGACAAGGTGTGGGACGTCTGCTGCCACACTGAAGACCCACGCTGCAGACACGTGAACATGTGTGCATATGTTTGGATTTAAATCCCAACTGCTCTTCAGGGGATAGTCACTGCTGTACGTTATTCTTTCCAAGTGCTGTTAACACGTTTTCATCACGTTAATGCAGCTGATGCTTATTTGGCAACAATTGTTTTAAAGGGGCAATATTATGTGTTTCTTGGGCATATATTTAAATACTATACCATAATAAAGTATCTATGTCACCTTTATCTGTTATTAAAATGCTGTTTTTATGTTTAAATAG